TTTATTTAATATAAAAAAATTATAAAGATTGATTAAAATTTGAATAATTTTTATTAGAAATAATTATTGATTTTTATATTGAGATATAAATCTTTTTGCACTAATCCATATTATATATAACAAAGTCAACTTTTACCAATTAAGCTTCTGATTTTTAATAAGAAAAAAATATCTAATATATTAAAATTTATTAATATTAATAAAGTACTCTATATCAGTTTTATTTTTTTTCTAATATTCTAAATATTATTTATTATTATCTAATTTATTTTCATATTACCATATTTATTCTGACTATATTTTATCTGAAATATTTTCTTACTTCTCATGCAATATTTATTTAGTTATTTGAATACTAATTATTCTAAATTATTTATCAAAAATAAACCATATACTTATCTAATTTCTAAGCCATGAATGTATTATCAATCTATCTTCTAATTCATATTACATCACATTAGTTAGTAAGTAAAAACTTTGGGGGGATCAGTAAATGCGTATTACGTGTAATCAATCAGTCATAATTCGCGTAAGAATGCTTGGTGAAAATTTAATCTTGAAAACTTGGGATTTGCGAAACTTCTGCAGCATCGTTTTGCTCGAAATTGCAAAAATCTAAGCAAGAGAGATAGGCGACAATAGCAAGTTATTGTCAAGTATAAAATCTCCTGAAGAAAAAAATGAATCGGAATCAAAAAAGCTTCTCAAACTCGCAATACTTAAAATTCATATTTTATAATATATTTTAGATATCTAGCGAGCTGGTCTTTCAAGACTTAAGCCACTGGAAAATCAAATTGTTTTGCTACTAATAAATTTTTATCTGTGATACATCTAAAAAACACATACTATTTATGTCAAAATTTATTGATTCAGCCAACGATTTTATTTATTAATTAACAACATAATCTATATAATAAAATTAAAAAAATAGCTCTCTATCTAGCAAAAGAAAAATTATTAAGCAGCTGTAATTCGAATACAATCATCTTGAGAACCACGTTGAGCAACGGGCATGATGAGAGGTTGATGTGCGAAGGAAGCAGTCATTGTGCAAACACGATACTGTCCAGCTGGTAATCCATTCGCTACAGATGTAGATAAAGAGCCGCTATTGGATGGATCGTTCAACCCTTTGAAGAAAGCGAAATTTCTTGCATCTGGCGGCGAGGTATTAGATGTTAATTGCTGGATTGTAATATGTGTATGTCCTTTGACGAGACCCTGATTGTTTAATTGTTGTGAAAATAAATAATATTCGGTATCTGGATTATCAAAGTTTCCAAGTTCTAAATTTGTAGTGGTTACAGAGACTGTGAAAGGAGTGTTCGCTTTTACGGTGCCGCCATTGTTTGGTGAGGTAATAAGAGATGAGACCATTTTGCTAACATCAGGGATTTCTCCTAGTTGAGTAAAGGAACAGGATTGACCGCCATTCTTTTTTTGAGTACCATCTGCTTTAGTTTTGATTTTTGAGATATCACAAACATTTCCACTTGCACCACCAGATAAAGAGTTTTTGGCAAAATTTGCATCACTATCTACAGCAGCAGCAGCGGCATTATTAGTTGCAGCAGCATTTGTAGCAGATGTAGTAGAAGTAACAAATCCTTTATTTTGTCCGAAACCTCCGCCAAAACCTTTTCCTCTGAAACCTCCTCCAAAACCGTTTGCTTGTTGAGCAACGGCATTAAAAGCGAAAGCAATTGTGAAAGTAATTAAAATTAAACCTTTTTTCATTTTAGATTATTTTTACAGAGAACGTGAATATACAGTAATGAAAAAACCCAAAAAGGAAGGCGATTGCAATCCAGGCAATCGAACTATTGTATAAAGAAAAAGTTGGATGAAAAAGGTCAAGAGATAGTAAAGATGGAATCAAGAAAAATTGCTCCAGGCAAATTCAATGAAAAATATTTGGATATACAAACGAAGGAAGTATCTAAAGAAAAAAGAAGGATTCGAGACAGGTTCCATTTTATAGCAAACCATCATTATTAATATTACAATATGAATTTGTGTTTAGTTAAAGCAAACCATATTAATTTGTTACGATTTAACTTTTTAAAGGAAAGTGTCCGGGTTCTTTATCATTTACACAGTGTAAATCATTAAACATGCATGCATGCATAGATGTATCATTTATCTAGGAAGGAGAAAACGTTATTGCCAAGAAAAAATCGCATTTATCGCATTTTCATCTTGTAATTGTAATAAATCATTGATATAATCTACATTTTAAGGAAACGAACCAGCAAAAATATTCGATTGGTGGAATAATAACTTTAATACGAGATATAGAAGGACTTGACGCCGTTAATTAACTTAATTAATATACCCGAGGGATTACTTTTATTGAAACAGGACTCTCGATTGTTGAAACATGTAGGAGTGATCGATGATTTTGGTTCATTTTAAAATTATCAACAACAGCAAATTGGATGTAAAGGAATATTTTTAATAATACAGTGCTTAGCATCAATAATTTTTAATTTCTATAACTTAATTAGGAATTTGATACAGCATAAATTTTGTATTTACCTCCTAAAGAGGTTATAGAACTTAAAAAAACATGCAGTTTATTGATGTTGTAAACATTCAATCAACTAATTAAACAATGCATTAGTAATAAAATAATCGAGTATTCTATCAGGGTTCTTGCGCTCAATAAAGTTCTAAGAGTCTTAATTCTTGATATACTGTTTATTTTACGAAGACACCAATTAAACATTGATGCAAAAGAAATTAGAAACATACAGTCAAATCTCAATATAATGACACTATAACAATGACAACCCAAAAACACATAGTAAAATATAACGATGTTGATATTTGCAGAATTATCCCGATTATAACGTTATCTCGAGATTATACAAGCTTGACGTGTATCTTAAAGTTCTTAATTCTTGTTTCTCATAGGGGTACTAATCATTTTCTTTGCGAACGTGTGCTAACACAATGAACAGAGGATGTTAAATATCGGATATGAATACAATTACAATAGATTTTTACAAATTCAATAAATCGAGATGGATTTATGATGAATATTATAACTGAGTACTTAAAATTTATTTTTTTTCAAGAATGTACATGTATTAAAAGTTTGCAGGATCAGAAATACGCGTACATCTGAGTAGCATTAATAGAAAAATTTAAACTAAACTTCTAATCTTGATTAATACAATTATAATGGTAAAACAATTCAATAACAAATTAAAAGAAATGAAAGAAATACCTAAAGTAGACTCTTGAAAGAAATTGCTAAATTAATATGTGTTATTTAATAATTTTATAATCATCAAAAGTTCGCATCATGTTAAATTATTATTTTGAGTTTAGAGCTACGTGTGTGTGTTTTAATCACAGAATGTGCACAAACGGCTTACTAATAATTTATTGTCGAGATCATCAAATTTAATTTATAATTTTGATTCAATTAGGTAAGAACCCCGGTATTGCATTTCGGAAATAAGTCACGTTGGCAATAAAACATGCAACCTTGAATATTTAAGAAAATAATATCAGATTGTTTGATTTCGTTATTATAAATTCATCCATGCAATTGGTTCGACCGTGAGTCATTAACAGATTGCTAATTTAGTTAGCTCTTCAATATTAAACAACTCGTAATAAGACTTTTCAATCATTAAATGAAACACGCAAAGTGAGACAATAGACCAAACACATTCATTACCGATGATCAAAGATAAAACGATGTTAGCGAAAAATTCTGCAAATAATATTATATCGAGAATTTCTTATAAAATCGTTATACCAAAGGAACGCTATCTACATAAGTCAGAATATGACCAGTAACCTCGTAAAAAATCATTTGTTCCTTTTGTAAAGGAATAATTGCAAATATAACCATATTATTTTGTAATAAAACGAATAAAAGAAAACAATTTGATAATTAAGCTAATCAAAAATAATGTAAATTATTTACAAAAGTATTTTTATTTTGATAAAATTAAAATAACGACAAGAGAAATGATACGAGTATTATGCTCTTGAAGAAGATTTGTGATTAACAAACAAAGCATTTAAAAGTAAGTAACTTGGCGAAGGAAGACGTTTGAACTTGTTATGCGCGCAGACAATTTACTAAAGATATATGTGGGCTAGAACGTAGATGAAATATTAAATCAACCAAATACCATACTTTTTTGACTCTTCCAATGGCAAAATTATCTTTGCTATATGATAGTTACTTAAATTGCATTATCGTGATCTCCATATGTTCAATTCATATTAATCATTATATTGGAAACGCGGAGAAAGGAATGATGTCACATAAATCTTGCTTTTTCAGATGTCATTTGAACTAGGCATCATTTTGGGACTTCAGATTCTAAATGTTCTTATAAATTATATTTTCAATTATCATGATCTTCGAACGGTCATAAATTTAAATTGACTTTTTAGTATCATTTTAATTTAATCCTGATCACGAGATGTTGGTCATTAATAGACACAAATCTATCTATTTTTATGTATATCTCGGCCCGTGTCATCCATCACACCGAATATTACGAAAGAAAATGAATTCAAAAATGAAGGCATTTTCAAAATAAAATATGTCATGTTATGAAAAAAAAATAAAAACTGATGCTATAAAAGTGTGGGTTTCAATCATATTTATCGACATAAAAACATTTTCGTTCCATACATAGTTCAGTGGGTTTCTAAAAGAATACTCACTTAACAAAAGAATTGCCAGGTTGCAATTTTATTTTTGTTATAATAAAAACAAAGAGTATAAAATTAATTTCTTTTAAAAAAAATGAAAAAAGTATTATTCATCCTCTTTTTAGTCATCGTTTTTGCTTTGGCTATCTTCGCATCTCCTCCACCCAACAGAAGAGGGACAAAAACATCTACATCAGCTACCCCAACTGCAACAGATGATAGTGACGCCACTTTTTCCAAGGACTCTTTATCAGGTCCTGCAAATGGAAAAGTTTGTAATGTCTCAAAAATCAAAACTAAAGCAAATGGTACTCAATTAGTAAATGGCGGTCAATCCTGTTCCTTTACTCAACTAGGAGAAATCCCTGATGTTAGCCAAATGGTCTCATCACTTATTATCTCACCAAACAATGAGGACGTCATAGAAGTGAATACTCCTTTCACTGTCTCTGTACTTAGTGCTAATTTGGCAACTGGAAACTTTGATAATCCAAAAACCGAATATTATTTATTTTCACAACAATTAAACAAGAAGGGTTTCATCAAGGGACATTCACATATTACAATTCAGCAATTAAATTCTAAGGCCTCGCCGCCAGATGCAAGAGATTTCGTTTTTTTCAAAGGATTGAATCAGATAACCAAAAATAGCACTTTGTCAGTACTAGTACCGGATGGATTACCAGCTGGATATTATCGTATTTGCTCAATGACTGCTTCCTTCGCACATCAACCTCTCCTCATGCCTGTTGCTCAACGTGGCTCTCAAGATGATTGTATTCGAATTACAGTACTTTAGTGATTTTTTAGCTGATTATACTTTTGATATATTTTTTATAAAAGATTTAATGACTTGACGCCATTTAAAGAAACACACTGCTACTTGTGCTAATCATTATACACCGTAATTAGTTTTTTGATAGCTAGTAGATGGAAACCCATTGTAAGTCCGGAACGAAATTTATATATGTATTTTTTTATTAGCCAATTTTATTTCTAAATGCAATAAATTAAATACATTTTTTTTCGTATACGGTAATGCAAATTGTAATATAATAGAATTGCAATTTGTTTTATTTTGAATCTCAATCTGACGTGACGCGGCGTGACAAACGGAAACAATCACGTGGCTTATATCGATTTTCACACTAATGCCTAAAAATATAATGTCCTAAGCTTCGCCACGGAAAAATAAATTAAGGTCGATTTAGATAGAGCCAAGATTGTTAATTAGTGGAAATATTCATAATCGAAACTCATCATTAAACTTCATTATATAAAAGAACTTTTTAAAACAAAGAGTCATTTTTCTTTTGTGATTTTGATTTTGGGATTAATTTTCCGTTCATGTGATTATCCGACATCAAAGAAATAAAACAAAAAACTTCGTAAAGGTTTTTTTCAGGCTGGGGTAAGGGTTAGTACTCGGCTTTGGAAACAGAATATAATAGCAAAATCACACAAGAAAAATTTTTGTCAAGCACAAAAGATAGTTTATTAAGCTAAATTTTGAGATAAACACAATTTTTTCATAATGAGCGTTTGTTTTGAATTTTTTACATTCTTTGAATCTGGGGACAAGTTCCAGTCCTCTGAACAATCAAATCGTAAGATCAATGTGTCACGCAAAAAAGCAAAACAAAATCTCATCTTGAAAAATAGCTAAACTTTTTACGTATGTTACTTGCTAAATTTTGCTACATTACTGTCACGTATAATCCTAAACCCTAGTTAATATTTTAATTGATTTGATCAATCGTCAGTGTTAGAAAATGATCGGAAACTTGTCCAGATTCCACGTGAACGGAAAATCGATCCTACGCCCTGGTATTTGTTAGGATTTTGTTATGGGTCTGGTACAACACAATCCCGAACGTTCATAAGCCCGAATGATCGAAATCCAGAATAGACGGCATCGCGGATATCATGGTTGAAATTCCGAAAGATCGAAATGCCGAATGCACGAAATCCCGAGTCTGCCAGGAGACTCGATACTTTTACGAATCACGTGGTTTCCCTTTCTTGTAGGATCGATTTTCCGTTCACCTGATAATCCGATCAACAAATAGCCAATGAAAAACAAAATTTAGTCTAATTAACTAACTTTTTATGCTCTAATAAAATTTTTCTTATTATAATACAACTCTCGCTTGACTGTTATAAATAAAATAACTCGTTTATAAGAAGAGCGCCATTTATCATGTGATTTCGATCCTGAATAGAGGGTCTTTCAGATCTAAATATAATGATTATTAGTTATTTGATTGGTTAATCAAGTTATATAATATTCGAATGATAATAAATTATTTGATTGATCGATCAAGTTATATAATATTAATAAAGTTTCTCATAATATATTGATTTTTATTCTTTTTTTATTTCTTTTTCTTTAATTTCTTTCTTTTTCTCTTTCTCTTTATTTTTTTCTCTCTTTTTTATTTTTTTTATCTTTTTTAATTTATAATTTATCTAATATATTTCTTATTCTATTTAAAATCTAATTATATTTCAGACTAAAGATGATAGTTTAATTAATTATAACTTGCAGTATTTAATTAGAGAATTGTGATTTAATTGTAATTAATCATAATAACTAATCAAAAAATTACAATCAAATTACAATTAATTATAATTTTATCTTTATTTTAAACTATTTTATAATTATCTATAAAGTTTCTTGCAATATATCTTTAATAATATTATAAATTTATATTTTTTATTTGAATAGATATTTATATTTTAAAAAGTATTTATTTTAATTACAAACTTAAAAAATCAATAATTATTTTTAATAAAAATTATTCAAATTTTAATTAATCTTTATAATTTTTTTATATTAAATAAAAAATAATCTAAATTAACT